TAAAACCTAAGACCCTTAGTATGATAAACTAGCGCTTTTACCACCAGGCCAAGCTCCAACTTGTCTTTATAATCCAAGAAATACGTATATATACATATATAATTAACAAAATAAACTTTAAGATTGGGGGCCATTTAGAATTGGGGGACATAAGTCGTTGCTTAGTTTTGCAAATGGTAGAACCAGAATGTATTTTACCTCACATCCCATGAGAAAAACAAAAACTCAAAATGGTGGTTCACATCTTTTGATGTGGGTAACATTTCTTGGATCAGTTATTTCAAGATTATGTAAGCTAAGATGAAGGTTGACAAAGTTTTCTTCATAAACTCGGTTAGATGAACTCATTTTTAGAAATGTTTTCAAATTGTGAATATGAAAAAAAAAATTGTAACAATAGAAATTTCTCAAATGATGAATATGAAACCTAATCCGGAATGTGTATCTGAAACATACAATATGCATTCTGAAATGTTCTTTCTTTTTGTCATCTCAGATTCCAGGGTATCTTTATGTCACATCTCACCAACCTAACTGTCACTCTAGAGCAGACATCGTTAGTCTTGAACATGGTGTTCCAGACATAGTTATCGGTTTGCGAAACCGAGAAAGGTTGGGTCACTTTTGTTAAGAACCTTTTTCATAATGGTTAGTTTTGCTAATATCCCGATTACGGAAATACCCGTTGATCTCAAGTTCTCAACATATAAAACTCACGGTGCTCTTTCTTCTCTCACTCTCAGCCTAAAAGAGATTTCAATCCTCATAATTTCCTTCTTAATCTGCCCTCTTAGAATATTTTTCTGTGAAAATCTGATAGCTTTCTCTTATTATCCCCGACTCCCCATCAATTTTCGCCAAAAATCATGCTTCAAGCCGTGAGACGTTGTACCAATCTTAGAGAATTCAGAAGTTGCAACGACAAATGATGATTTCAGATGCACAAAATCTCAACTCAACTCTCAAGGGTGTCTCTTTAGTCTCGTATATTTCTGTCTCTCTCATGAGCTCACCAGAATTTGGAAGACTCATCATTTCAACCTCTCAGTTAAATGTTCATTAGAGTAATTTGTGTCAGTTTGTTTAAATATATAAATGGTTTTTGCTGATTGCTCTCATAATAGAAAAAAAATTTGTTAATAGGGTTAGAGTGTTAAAAAGTTTATGGCAGATTGTTTAAGGTGGATAATTACCAATTCAATCACATAAACTCAAAACTGAAGCAGTAAAAGTGGATTGTTGACATGAAAAAGAGTGAATAAACAATGTCTTTTTATACAACACAGTAGATTCCAGTTCCAATTCGTGGTAAAACAAACAGAACAGAAATTGAAGCTGAATTAACTGATATGGGTCAGATTTCTTTACATAAACCCATCAAGAAGCAGCTTTCAACTTGACCACTTTTCTGGCTTAGAGATCGAACTGTTGAAGCAATTCAATGCAGAAAAGCATAAACAGCAGTTGAAATATAAACCAAAAGAGCAGAAGTGACCAGTACAATCATGGAAGCAACTGCATTAACAGTGGATCGACTCCCACAAGACAACATCCCCAGTCGAATCTCGATCACATTCACCATCGATAGCATCAAGAACAAACACCCCATCACTGATCCAACAGCCGATCCAAGCATCCCAAACCTCAACGCTTTCAGATTAATGTGTGCCCTAAACGCCTCATCAGCATCCTTGCTATTCAGCAGATTGATGGCGAGTTTAAGACCTTGAGCGACGAGAGACGAGAAGAGGAAGAAACTAAACGATACAACCTCGAATACCAGAAGCTTCTTGGCGACGGAGATGTCCGCGTCGCAGGCGGATCGGTTCTCAAGGCTGCGTTGGCCGGGAGTGGTGAGAGAAAGTCCGACAAACACTGCGATTGTGAACAGAGAGTTCACGTTTACGAGCCCATCGAGTGCGGTTACGTGAATGCTCGTTGTTGATGTTGATCGTGAAGATGATGATGAGATCCTCGTACCGGTTTGTTGATCGTAGTGATCTTTTGTGTGGCCATCAAATCTGAAAACGAATTGAAACAAATTAACACTAAAACAATCGAAATACGAGTAATTGAGATAGAAATAGAGAAAGAGGGAGATAAAAAAGCTTACTCTGCCATGGATGAAAGCTTGAAAGCTCCGATTCATTGAAGGAGGGGTTGCTTTTGGGGTTTTGTGGGCAGAAGAAGGTATCCTGGAGTGCAAGTTTAGGCAACTAAAGACAATTATTGGGGTTCGTTTGATTAAAACAGAACTTATGGGTATTTTGTGCAAACATTCTAAAGTTTGATTATAAAACTTGTTATTACGATTTTAAGTCGCAACTAGGGGTGACGTGTGCGTTGCGGCTGGCAACAAGTTATTAATCTTATATTTTCGAAATTATTTCTGTAAACATCACTTAAATAGTGTCATCTTTTTAATTTTTCTTTAAAACACAGGGATCGTGTTGGGAAATTCAGTAATAGGCAGGCAAAATTTTGTAACTTTATGAAACATAAGGACCATTTATGTTATTTTGCTATTAGGAAGTGACTATCTATAAATTTGTTGAACATAGAGACCAATTTTATAATTTTGCTATTAGACATGGGTATTTTTATAATTTTATGAAACAGGGGACCATTATTGTAGTTTTGTGAAATGAAAGGACATTTTCTACAAATTCCTTACTAGAAAAGAACTATTTTGTAAGTTTGTGGAAAACATGGACCATTTTCGTAAATTTAGTATTAGAACGCAACCATATAAGTAATTTTATAAAACACAAAAACCATTTTTGTAATATTTTTATTAAGTATAAGGGTTAATGTCGTAAAAGTCCTTAAGTTTTCACAAAAATTCGTTTTTACCATTTTGTGTATTTTAAGTTCAATAAAACCGCAAGTTTGCATAAATTCTTGTGTTTTTACCCTTTTATCATGTTACTAGGTTACATCTAGGTTGCACACACACGTGGCACGCCAAGTGAACACTGATAAGGTTTAGACATTACGTAGTTGTGGACTGTCACATCAACATCTTTCCTCTAGCTTTTTAAAAAATGCGAATATGATAGAGAAAATAGAAGCTAACAGGTTTCGAACCCAAATTCTCTGTCTCACAAACAACGCATCCTACCATAAGCCGAAGCAAATGTTATGATATAACTCCTGAACGAAACTATATATTGCTTAACACTGAAAAATTATAAATTCAATAATAATAACAATAATAATAATAATTATTATTATTATTATTATTATTGATGAGAGTATACATATAATTATGGTTTTTGATATATAAAATACATATTTAGATGTATAAATATGTTTATAAATTGTATAAACACATATTTATATGAAAATACCTATGAATATGGTTTTATTGTATATATATAAATATATAAACACATTTTTAAATTGTATAAATACACATAATATGTATTTTATATGTATAACATTTTTATTTGAAAAATTCATGATAAAATACATATATAATACGTATTTATGCATAACGTTTTTCATACATATTTATATATAACGTCAACTAGCTATAAGATACGTTTTAAAACATATTTAAACACATAAAAAGTGGATTTTTATATATTTAAAGGTGTTTAAACATATTTAGCATATTATATATGTATTTAACCATTTGACAACGTATCTTTAAAAAAAATGTTATACGTATAAAAAACGGTACTTCTGTTTATAAAAACACATATAAAGACATATTTATATATGCGGTTTATACATATTAAAAATATGTTTATACATATTCATATATTTATATATTTTAAAAACATATTTATACATACAAAGTATTTATATATGTTGATACATTTAAAAAAACATATTTATACGTATTTATATGTTTTTAAAATGTATAAATACATATAAAAACGTATTTTATACATTTGAAAATGTATATATAACCATATGTATATTTTCGATAATAATAATAATAATAATAATAATAATAATAATAAGTGTAATTATATTTAAAATATTTCTATTTTATACATTATATACGAAGTTTCAGGAATCAGTACATAAAAACATATCTATCGCAGTGCTAAGACGTTTGGGTTAATTGTACAAAATGTCGAGGAGGTGTTAAGTTCGATACTCGCTATCCTAATTTCTCTTTTTATATGCGCCTATTCCTTAAATAAGGAAATGCCACCTCATTTCCCCTATGTGGCGGTTTGTCAGCCCAATAAGTGCTATGTGGCATGTCGCGTGTCTAGGTAACCGGCTACTAACCGGGTAATATGGTAAAAGGGCAAAAACGCAAAAATTTATGAAAACTTGCGGCTTTATTGAACCTAAAATACACAAAAAGGTAAAATCGAATAGTTCGTGAAATGGTTTGAGTTATAGATGCCTTGATAAATGAGTTAAATTATAGATGGATTGTTAAATTGGATAAAAATTGTTGTGTGTATGTATGAAAATGGTGTCAAAAAGAGAAGAGGACATACAAGTTGCCAATGGTGTTACTGAACTTGCATTGGTTGAATAGAATGAGAAGATCAAAGCTGTTATCACTTGCATTGGTTGAATAGAATGAGAAGATCAAAGCTGTTATCGAAGGCAAATTATTCAATTTTAAGTATCAATAAGACTTTGGTTGTGTCATGCTCACTTATAATCTTCCCACTGTGTTGGTAGTAGTAGTCCGACATCAATAATCAATAATTGTTGCATAAATTTGTGATGGTAGTAACTAGTAATGTATTGTTGTACTTATGATGTATTGTACCCCATTTAGAAAAAGGTTCTCACTTTTTCCCTCTAATTCATATAACATTATGTGATTTCACTTTAAATTTATAGTATTTTATTTTCATTTTACAACATTAACCTCTGTTAATAACTTTTTTATAGCAATTTACTACATTTTATTTTCATTTTATATAATTCTACTTTTAATTTAAATCCAAAAAGTTCCAACAGTCAATTTATAGCATTCTACTTACATTACATTTGTAGGTTTTGTCCAATAACCAATTGCAAGTGTTGAAGCTAATTTTAAGTGTTGCACATAACTTGTTTGACAAAAACTAATAACATTGTGTCTTCATAGTTTGTAATTATAATTATACGACGTTTATTGCTTTTTTTTTTATCTAAAATGGGAAACACTAATAAATGGGTTATGTAAAATGGGGAACACTAATCAATAAGTTATGTAAAATAAGGAAAACATGTTGTAAAATGGAAGTCGGTGATGTTTTATATAGCATGATCATTTATAAATTAAATGGTAAATCATAAAGAAATTATTATAAAAAATGTTGTTTGAGGGTAGTATAGTCATTTTGCAAAGTCAGTCAGATACAAAATCAAACAATAAGTTTCAGTCAGAAGTTAACTCAATCAGAATTTCTAACCCAGTTAGCAACTATCAAACGACCCTTAATCATAGAATCATAGAACCATTTTTTTACTATTAGATTAATTTAGGGTTTAGGTCATTTTTGGTCACTTAACTTTTGGTTTTGTACTCATTTGGTCACTTAACTCTTTTTAAGT